GTTTTTTATGTTTAAAAAAAATACTGTTATCATTAGGAGGTTTGTTCAATAAAATTTGAATTGTACTCTTAATAGTTGATAACATGAGAATTATGCTGACTGTTATTTACATCAATATTTTAGGTAAATGAGAAAAATATAATTTGCATAATAATTTGGAACAGGGTGTAGTACAGAAGTACAGACAGGTGTTGGACACACGTTTATATATCTGCATGCCGTCCCCTGTATCAGTATACACATAGTGTATGTATGTATATATATATATATATATATATATATATATATATATATATATATATGTATACAACAGGCTCTGTATACACAGACAAGTGTGGGACACACATATATATATCTGGTCGCCAGCCCCTGTATCAGTGTACACACAGTATACAGTGGATATAAAAAGTCTACACACCCCTGTTAAAATGTCAGGTTTCTGTGATGTAAAAAATTAGACAAAGATAAGTAATTTCAGAACTTTTTCCACCTTTAACCACATGCCGCCCAGCCACCGCATATAAACGGCGGCAGGGCGGCGCTTGTAGGCAAAAGCACGTTTTAAAACGGCTGCCTTCAAAACAGGTAGGGGACGCGCGCGAGGCGCGCGCCCGCCCTACCTGTTCCGTGGGTGTCAGCAGCGGGTCTCCCGCCGCCGGGTCACGGCCGGTTTTTACCGGCCGTTTTCCCGCGATGGGCGGTGATCACTGACACAGAGCAGGGCTGCAATGTTTACACACAGCCCTGCTCTGTGACAGTTCGCCGACAAGCTGCAGAGGGAGAGAAGAGTTTCTCTCCCTCAATCAGCTCCCCCCTCCCTCCCCCCCCCCCCCGTCCAGTACACACCCCCGCCCCCTAGTAAAACACTCCCCTTACACAGCAAATTCTAAAAATGTTACCCCCTTCCTCCCCAGTGACATTAGTAGTTTTTTTTTTCACTGATCACTGTATTGGTGTCACTGGGGATGTCAGTGACCCCAAGTCAGTTCCCCCCCCAGTGTCAAAATGTCCGCCGCAGTCCCGCCATAAGTCGCTGATTGCCGCTATATGTCGCTGATCGGCGCCATTATTAGTATAAATAAAAATTAAAAATCCCAGTATCTTTCCCGCCATTTGTAAACGCTATAACTTCCACACAAAGCAATCAATATACACTTATTGGGATTTTTTTTACCAAAAACATGTAGCAGAATACATTTTGGCCAAAATTTATAACCAACTTTGAGTTTACTATATATTTTTTTATAGCTGAAAGTAAAAAATATTGTTTTTCTTCAAAATTTTTGGCCTTTTTTTGTTTATAGCGTGAAAAATAAAAAGCGCACAGGTGATCAAATTACACCGAAATAAAGCTCTATTTGTGTGAAAAAAAGGACGTAAATTTCGTTTGGGTGCAGCATTGCATGACCGCGCAATTATCAGTTGAATTAGTGCAGCGCCGAGTAGCAAAAAGAGGCCTGGTCATTAAGGGGGGTAAATCCTCAGGAGCTCAAGTGGTTAACCACTTGCCTACCGGGCACTTATACCCCTTCCTTACCAGGCCAATTTTCAGCTTTCAGCGCTGTCGCACTTTGAATGACAATTGAGCGGTTATGCAACATTGTACCCATGTGAAATTATCGTTTTTTTTTCACACAAATAGAGCTTTCTTTTGGTGGTATTTACTCGCTGCTGGATGTTTTATTTTTTGCGCTATAAACAAAAAAAAATTGCAAAAAAAAAAAGTTTTTCTTTTATAAAATTTTGCAAACAGGTAATTTTTCTCCTTCACTGATGTGCGTTGATGAGGTTGCACTGATAGGCAGCCCTGACAGGCGGCACCGATAGGCAGCACTGATGGGTGGCACTGTTGGGCACTTGTGGGCGACACTGCTGGGCACCGATCATCAGTGCCCTGATGATCGGTGCCGATCCCTCCTCTGACAACTGCCGGTTATCGGCAGTACTTTCCTCAAGCTGTGACAGCGTGAGGAAAGTGCAGCCAATAACTGGCAATTGCATTTCCCGGTGATCGGTGTGTCATTGGACACGGCTGATCACATAGAAAATGGCCACTGTGATTGGCCTTTTACCATATCACGTGATCAGCTGTGTCCGTAGGACACGGCGAACATGGAGATCGCCAGGAGCGTGCAGGAGAGTGCGTTCTGGGAGGACGTACACAATATATAGGGGGCTCCCTCTGTACGTAGCACAGACAGGTGCAGGCCCTGCCCCCGTAGGGGTGTACACAGTATATAGGGGGGCTCCCTCTGTACATAGCACAGATAGGTGCGAGACAAACGTGTATGTATGTGAACCCAGCCCTGTGTAGCGGTGTACACACAGTATTATTATTATACAGTATTGATTGATATAGCGCCAATAGTTTGCTTAGCGCTATACATTATAGTGGGAGACAGTACAGTAACAATACAATGCAATACACGAGGGGTTCGAGGGCCCTGCTCCTTGGAGCTTACAATCTAGGAGGGAGGGGAGAGTGGTACAGGAGGAAATAGCTGTGGGGGATGGAGTGGAGGGAAGAGTGGAGGAGATCAGCAATTAGGTGAGGGCTGGGTAGGCTTCTCTGAAGAGATGGGTTTTCAGGGTGCGCCTAAAGGCGAGGAGGGTAGGTGACAGTCTGATGGATTGGGGTAGTGAGTCCCAGAGGATGGTGGAAGCCCTGGAGAAGTCCTGGAGACGGGCATGGAAGGAGGAGACCAGGAACTGGAGAGTAGGAGGTCTTGTGAGGAGCAGAGAGTGCGTTTTGGGTGGTAGATGGATATCAGGTCGGTGAAGTAGTTTGGGGCAGTGTTATGAATGGCTTTGTACGTCAATGTTAATATTTTGCATTTTATGCGTTGGGCAATCGGAAGCCAGTGGAGGGAATGACAGAGGGGGGTGGTGGATACGGAGCGGTTGGTAAGATGGATGAGTCTGGCCGCAGAATTCAGGATAGACTGAAGCGGGGATAGCCTGTGTTGGGGTAGGCCGGTGAGGAGGGAGTTGCAGTAGTCAAGTCGTGATATGATAAGGGAGTGGATGAGGGTTAGGAACGGATGTTTTTTGGAGATGTTGCGGAGGTGAAGTCTGCATGAATTTGTCAGCGATTGGATCTGGGGCTGGAAAGACAGATTGGAGTCTAGAATGACACCTAGTACTTTGGCAGACAGGTGGGGGCCCCGCCCCCCGTAGCAGTGTACACACAGTATATAGGGGGCTCCCTCTGTAAGTAGCACTGACAGGTGCGGGCCCCGCCCCCCGTTAGCGGCGTACACAGTATATAGGGGCTCCCTCTGTAAGTAGCACTGACAGGTGCGGGCCCCGCCCCCCGTAGCGGGGTACACAGTATATAGGGGGCTCCCTCTGTACGTAACACTGACAGGTGCAGGTCACACGTTTATATATGCGGGCCCCGCCCCCCGTAGCGGTGTACACAGTATATAGGGGGCTCCCTCTGTAAGTAGCACAGACAGGTGCGGGCCCCGCCCCCCGTAGCGGTGTACACAGTATATAGGGGGCTCCCTCTGTACGTAGCACAGACAGGTGCGGGCCCCGCCCCCCGTAGCGGAGTACACAGTATATAGGGGGCTCCCTCTGCACGTAGCACTGACAGGTGCGGGCCCCGCCCCCCCGTAGCGGAGTACACAGTATATAGGGGCTCCCTCTGTAAGTAGCACTGACAGGTGCGGGGGCCCCGCCCCCCGTAGCGGAGTACACAGTATATAGGGGGCTCCCTCTGTACATAACACTGACAGGTGCAGGTCACACTTGTATATATGCGGACCCCGCCCCCCGTAGCGGTGTACACAGTATATAGGGGGCTCCCTCTGTAAGTAGCACAGACAGGTGCGGGCCCCCGCCCCCCCGTAGCGATGTACACAGTATATAGGGGGCTCCCTCTGCACGTAGCACTGACAGGTGAGGGCCCGCCCCCCGTAGCGGAGTACACAGTATATAGGGGGCTCCCTCTGTACGTAGCACAGACAGGTGCGGGCCCCCGCCCCCCGTAGCGGAGTACACAGTATATAGGGGGCTCCCTCTGTACGTAACACTGACAGGTGCGGGCCCCGCCCCCCGTAGCGGAGTACACAGTATATAGGGGGCTCCCTCTGTACGTAACACTGACAGGTGCGGGCCCCGCCCCCCGTAGCGGTGTACACAGTATATAGGGGGCTCCCTCTGTAAGTAGCACAGACAGGTGCGGGCCCCGCCCCCCGTAGCGGAGTACACAGTATATAGGGGGCTCCCTCTGTACGTAGCACAGACAGGTGCGGGTCACACGTGTATATATGCGGACCCCGCCCCCCGTAGCGGAGTACACAGTATATAGGGGGCTCCCTCTATACGTAGCACAGACAGGTGCGGGCCCCGCCCCGTAGGGGTGTACACAGTATATAGGGGGCTCCCTCTGTAAGTAGCACAGACAGGTGCGGGCCCCGCCCCCCGTAGCGTTAGTACACAGTATATAGGGGGCTCCCTCTATACGTAGCACAGACAGGTGCGGGCCCCCGCCCCCCGTAGCGGAGTACACAGTATATAGGGGGCTCCCTCTGTAAGTAGCACAGACAGGTGCGGGCCCCGCCCCCCGTAGCGGAGTACACAGTATATAGGGGGCTCCCTCTATACGTAGCACAGACAGGTGCGGGCCCCGCCCCCCGTAGCGGAGTACACAGTATATAGGGGGCTCCCTCTGTAAGTAGCACAGACAGGTGCGGGCCCCGCCCCCCGTAGCGGAGTACACAGTATATAGGGGGCTCCCTCTGTAAGTAGCACAGACAGGTGCGGGCCCCGCCCCCCGTAGCGGAGTACACAGTATATATAGGGGGCTCCCTCTATACGTAGCACAGACAGGTGCGGGTCACACGTGTATATATGCGGACCCCGCCCCCCATAGCGGAGTACACAGTATATAGGGGGCTCCCTCTGTACGTAGCACAGACAGGTGCGGGTCACACGTGTATATATGCGGACCCCCGCCCCCTGTAGCTGTATGCCGGATCTCCTGCGACCACTATGCCGTCTCCCATCCCTGTGGAGCGCTTCTTCCCCGGGACCTGTCCCCGTCCATAGACCTCCGGCCCTGTAGCAGTCCTCTGGAGCTAAGCCGTGCCAAGGCCGGTGATGTGTCCGCCTCGTCCTCCAGCCGGCCGGTCCAATGCAGACTGCCCCCCCGCCTGGCCTGGTGCAGTATAGACTGGGAGCAGGTGCGGGTCCTGGAACCGCTGGGCTCGGGGGGGTTCGGCTCCGTGTACCGGGCCACCTACCGTGGCCAGACGGTGGCTCTGAAGAAGGTGAAGCGGTGCAGCAAGAACCGGTTGGCGTCCCGGCAGAGTTTTTGGGCCGAGCTGAACGCCGCCCGCCTCTGCCACCCGCACGTGGTCCGCGTCCTGGCCGCCAGCGCCTCCTGTCCCGGGGACCCCGGCAGTCCCGGCACCATCATCATGGAGTACGCCGGCAGTGGCACCCTGCACCGCCGCCTCTACGGCCGGGGCCCCCCACTGGGGAGAGCCTGCTGCCTGCGCTACGCCCGCCACATAACGGACGGTCTCCGCTTCCTGCACCGGGGCGGCGTGGTGCACCTTGACCTGAAGCCAGCCAACGTGCTGCTAGATCCGGGGAACGTGTGTAAGATCGGGGACTTCGGCTGCTCGCAGAGGCTGAGGGAGGACGGCGGGGGAGATTGCAGTACCCAGCTCCGCCACCTAGGGGGCACCTACACCCACCGGGCGCCCGAGCTGCTCCGCGGAGAGTCGGTCACCGCCAAGGCGGACATCTACTCGTTCGCGGTCACCTTGTGGCAGATGGTGACCCGGGAGCTGCCCTACACCGGGGACCGCCAGTGTGTGCTCTACGCCGTGGTGGCCTATGACCTGCGCCCGAAGATCGGACCATCCTTCCTGGTGACTGAGGAGGGCAGGGCGGCCAGGGACATCGTACAGAACTGCTGGGCTGCCCGACCCGAGAATCGACCCAGTGCCGAGGAACTGCTGCACAGCATTAGCCTCGTACAGTCCCTGGAACACAGTCCCCAATGCGATAAAACTTCTGAGCTCTGTATGGGGGACAGCAGAGACTGTCCGACCCCAGCACACACCGCTTGTCTGCCTGCAGGACCTCTCCTCCTGACCACCACTGGAGATCCAGAGAACAGACCTCTACATGGTCCTCATAGTCCTTGATACTGCGCACAGTCCACACCTTGATGAAACTTCTGACCTCCAGGCATGACCCTGTATAGGGGACAACCTGGACTGTCCAAACTTGCCTGGAGGACCTTTCATCCAGATCAAGATGGGGTTTGGAGCTCCACCATGTACAGTCTGCCCTTATGACCAGCCCTCCTGTTGTCCCCATAGTCCTTGCCACTGATAAGTCCTCAACATGAAGCACTTAGTACACACAACCTGCCTGGAAGACCTCTCCTGATCATGGGAGTCGGAGATCCGAGCTCCACCATGTGCAGACCTCTTATGATTGGCCTAGAAATAGTCCTGTGTTGTCCCCCTTAGTCCCTGATACTGAGCAGTCTCCAACATGATGGAACCTCTGAGCTTCGGGAATGTCCCAGCAAGGGGGTCAACCTGGACTGCCCAACCTCAGCACCGATTACCTGCCTGTCAAACATCTCCACCTGACTGACACTTCTCCAGGACATCACTGGAGACCAGGGCTGCAAATTCACTATGTTCAGACTGAGAACCGTTCTCTGATGTCCCCATTGCTGTGCTACTGAGCAAAGCCCCCAACATGATGGATCTTCTGAGGACTGTCTCTTCATAGGGGGGTAACTCGGAATGTCCAATGTTTACACACAACTTGTCTGGAAGACCTCTCCTTATGCTCATGACACTTGAAAATGGGTGCTGAAGCTCTACTATGTGCAGTCTGCTCCTATCCCAGCCTGTTAACAGTCCTCTAATAGTCCCCAACGTGATGCAGACTTGGTACACACAACCTGCCTGGAAGACCTCTTCTCTTGATCAAGACCCTAGAGATTGGAGCTTTGCCATGTGCAGTCTTCTTATGATCAGCCTCTTAACAGTCCTCTGTCCCCATGGTCCCTGCTACTGAGCAGGATCCCCAACTTAAAGGAACTTCTGAGCTCCAGTAATGTCATTGCATGGGTGACAACCTGGACTGTCCAAACTGTGCACACAATCTGTCTGGAAGACCTTTTATTTATTTATATATATATATATATATATAAAATTGGAGATGGGAGCTAGAGGTTGGGGCTTCTGCTGATTTAATGTTTGACCTGGCATGCTCTGCTGTCACCTTGGGTCGCTGGTATTTAGCAGAGTCTCTAACTTGATGGAGCATCCAGGAATGTCCCTACGTGGGTGACAATATGGACTGTCCAACCTCAGCTCACACAACCTCCTGTAAGAGCTTATTCTGTTCATGGCACCTCTGGGACTTCTTTGAAGATGGTGATGGGAGCAGGAGTTTGGAGCTCCAATCTGCTTCTAATGTCTCCTACCATCTTTCATAAGACAGCCCAGGGGTGAATGACTAAGGATGTACCCTATGAGAGACCAGAAATGGAGAATCTGTGCTTTACACTGTGATGGTACGGTGAACAGGTCCAGTGTTAACAGATGCTTGTTCACAATGCCATGTTTTTAGCTGCAATGTTTTGTGTTCTTATGTCATGTTGGGCTAGAGCTTCATCATGTGCAATCTGCTATTCTAATGGCTTCTAGCATTGTCCATGAGGCAGCCTGGAGGTGACTGACCATGGATGTCCTCTATGAGAACAGCAGTGACCACAAAAGGAGGATCTGTGCTCAAGGAACCTTTCACACGGGAGCTCACTGTTTTGTCCTAGCAAGAGGTCCTAGACTGATACCCCTACTGAGCTAAATCCGCATAGAAACTGATGTCGCATATGACATTCGTGTCCATTCTGGGTTTTTTTTCTGCATCTTGTGATGTAGGAAGAATGAACCAGTGTACTCGGTATGGGCAGCTGGATATAAACAAAGTTGTGTGTCCACTTCAATCTGCCCACTTTTTTTTTTTTTTTTCTCTCTCTCCAGGTCTGCAAAAGACCTGAATTCAAACATCTTGAATTTGCTCCAATGAAAATGAGAGCACCTGGCTTTAAATGCACATCCACTTATATGTACATGTGGCTGCCTAATGGGTCAATATGTAGTCCCTTTTAATCTGACTCGCTCATTAAATATGGATTGATGGGAACAACCATGTGAAAGGGGCCTTATGCTGTGTTGGTGACTAAGTCCAGTATTTATCAGAGGCTTGTTCAGTGTCCTGTTTTGGCTGCTATTTATGTTGTGTTTTTATGTCACTTTTGGGTGTCTTGTTAATGTGTTTTGTAGATTTGAGATCACAGGTTTCTAGTCTGGTGCAGTGATCCCACTATGTGTCATGGAATCAAGTACATGCATTGCTTTTTAATCTGTGATTCTTCCATATCCTATGTTGGTGTTTTAAAACGTAATTCATGACTTTAAATCATGAAGCATAGCAGTGCAGATACAAGGGATGGATTGTCGCTTAAAATGCTTTTCAAATAAAATGCACAATTCAATTTTCTGGGAGCTGAGCTTTGTTTAAGGGCTACAAGTGACAGCTGAACATTTCATTGTAATGATTTGAGTGGCTGCTGCAGCATAACCCATGCACATTATTCTGGTAATCTGAAAATATTTCCCGTGCACACCTTCTGAAATTAAAGCAGATAATCATTTTAAAGTATAACTAAAGGCAAAACTTTTTTTTAGGGTTTTTATTGCAGCATTTGTCCTTGTTAAAGAGGTTCTCTCTTAGGCTTGTTTACCATTGAAAGTAAACTCCAAAATTTTGGTTGTCCCTAGAAAAGTAATCTAGAGGAAATTTTCCAATGAGGATGCTAGTTCTGGAGACTTGGAAGCCCTCAAAGTATTAATATGCATGGATTACCTCTCACTTTCTGTTTTGGCTATGGGACAGGAGGCTAAGGTAAATCTTCCTAGCGGGATACGGATGGCAAAAAAATATACTGACAGGGAGCCTAACCTTCCCTTTATCCAAAATGGGGGGGGGGAGGAAAGTGGTGTTGCCTATAGTTTTACTTTATGTGAATCTCAAGGATAAAGTTTATATTTTATTTAAACAAAAAAAAAATAAACACACTGCTCAAAAAAATTAAAGAAACATTTTTTGAAAACACATCAGATCTCAATGGGGGAAAAATATCATGCTTGATATCTATATTTATATGGGCTGGGTAATGTTGGGAATGCGAGGATGCCCCATCGTTTGATGAAAATTATCAACCTACAGAGGACTGAACTCAAACACCCCAAAAATCAAAGTGAAAAAAATAAAGCAGCAGGCTAGTCCATTTTGCTGAAATTTCATTTCATTCGATATACCAGAGGTGTTCTATTGGATTTAGGTCAGGCAAGCATGGGAGGCCATTCAGTGATATCAATTCCTTCATGAACTGCCTACATGTACTCGCCACATGAGGCTGGGCATCCTCATGAACCAGGAGGAACCCAGGACCCACTGTACCAGCATAAGGTCTGACAATGGGTCCAAGGGTTTCATCCCGATAACTAATGGCAGTCAGGGTGCCACTGTCTAGCCTGTAGAGGTCTGTGCGTCCCTCCATGGATATGCCTCCCCAGACCATCACTGACTCACCACCAAAACAGTCATGCTGAACGATGTTACAGGCAGCATAACGTTCTCCAGACCCTTTCACGTCTGTCACGTGCTCAGGGTAAATCTGCTCTCATCTGTGAAAAGCACAGGGCGCCAGTGGCAGACCTGCCAATTCTGGTGTTCAATGGCAAATGCCGATTGAGCTCTATGGTGCCGGGCAGTGAGCACAGGGCCCACTAGAGGACATCGGGCCCTCAGGCCACCCTCATGAAGTCTGTCAAGAGACACTTACACCAGTGGCATGCTGGAGGTCATTTTGTAGGGCTCTGGCAGTGCTCATCCTGTTCCTCCTTGCACAAAGGAGCAGATATTTGTCCTGATGGGTTAAGGACATTATGGGGTTTATTTACTAAACCTGGTTGACTCAGAATCTTGGGCACCTGTGCATGGTAGCCAATCAGCTTCTAACCTTAGCATGTTCAGTTAAGCTTTAGCAATAAAACCTGGAAGCTGATTGGTTTTTATGCAGAAGTGGACACGATTCTGAGTCAACCAGGTTTAGTAAATAAACCCCTATATGACCCTGTCCAGCTATTCTAGAGTAACTGCCTGTCTCCTAGAATCTCCTCCATGCTATTGACTGCTGGGAGACACCGAAAACCTTCTGGCAATGGCACATATTGATGTGCCATCCTGGAGGAATTGGACTGCCTGGGCAACCTCTGTAGGGTCCAGGTATCTCCTCATGCTACCAGTAGTTACATTGACCCTAGCCAAATGCAAAACTAGTGAAAAACAGAAAAGATAAGTAGGGAAAAAAAATGTCAGTGAACTCCACCTGTAAAACCATTCCTGTTTTGGGGGTCATCCTTTTGTTCCTCATCTAGTGCACTTGTTAATTTCATTAACACCAAAGCAGCTGAAGCTGATTAACAACCCCATCTGCTACCTTACTGATCAGATCAATATCCCAGGAGTTTAATTCACTTGATGCTATACTCTGATGAAAAAGTGTTCCCTTTTTTTTTTTTTTTTTTTTTTTTTTTTTAGTAGAGCTGTGTGTTATATATATTTTAGTAGAATTTTTAGGTTTGTATTGCTGGGTATGCTCTGGTTAGGGAATTCCCTCTTGGTGTCCTAGTGACAATATTGTCTCCTGAACAGGAAGTGAAGGAAAGCAGTCTGGCAGGGCCACAGCAGTGAGTTTGGAAGAGGTATTGAAAACCAAGTTTAATGTATTGCAGCTTATCAGTTCTTGTTTATGGTGCTTTTTTAGTGTTTGCGTTTTTTTTTGTTATTTTTTTATTTCAACCTGGTGATTCAGCTAGTAACACATCTTTTCTTAGGGTGGCTCTACTCTGGATGGAGGAGCAATAGAGGAACTCTTGGACAGCAATGTTGTCAGTCTGTGGAGAAGGTAGTATTCGATGAACTAACAGATTTAGTTGGACTTGACTAACAAAATAGAATTCCAGCTGAACACTAGCCATAAAGGGGGGGGAAAAAGTCCCCCTCCCCTCTCCTATCAATGCTGACTAACCTGTGTTGGTAAAAACAAGTGTATACTTGTCTATTTTCAGCTTGCTCTGGTCTGGTCATGTGATTTGGCTTCCCTTTGTCAGCCAGCAGCAGCTCCAGCACAGAGGAGGAAGCACTGCTGGGACATGGAAATCTATGGGTGATGTCACCGCTCCTGGAATTCCCAGCTATAAGTGATTTCTCCTCTCCCATGCAGCCACTGCTGACTGACTGGACCAGGCTGAAAAGAGAGAATTTTTTTTTTTTTTTTTTTTTTTCCGTGAGAAATGCTGACTGCCACATTTGCTTGTGCAAACCAACCTGTCAAGTTGTCATAACTGCTCATATGAGCATATCAAATAAAGGCTAAGATGGCAGCTTCCTTGGCTAAAAAGGGGTGTATAAGAGGGTTTAGTTCCACTTTAAGGCTAGTAGAGATTCTGCTGTAAAGCTGAACTCCATATAGCTCTTTATAAGCAGTTACAGCAACAATTTGAATTTTTTTTTTTTCTTTTGCAATAAACCTTTAACAGGCTGATCATTTTGTAAGCAACCTTGTTGGTGGAATATGCTTTGACTCATCCTTCCAACTGCCACTTTCGCTGGACAACTTGTGTGTAAAAAAAAAAAAAAAAAAAAAAAAAAAAATATATATATAAATGTGTTTTTTTTTTTTTTTTTTTTTTTTTTTGTCTGTAGGAGCCTGTAAAGCATCGCACCAGTGATCAGCAGATCTCTGGTGCCATGCAGGTCTCCTGCAGATATATTGACAAGGTGACTCTATGAACTACCATGGCACTCCACAGCTCTGTGCTAGTTAATTGAGAACTACAAACTGACAGCTGCTAAGGCTGTTGAGACTATTGGTCATTCACTGAACTCTGTGATTGATTGGCGGTGCTGTTTTAAAATCTGACATAGTATGGGGAACTTCTGTTGGAGGGAGGGGGGCAGAGGGCAGTGCCTGCAGCATGGCGAACATGTTGCACCCTAAAAACAGGTAACATATTCCCAAAGGTGAACATATCCTTTTAAGGCAGCCATAGATAGAAATTTGGTTGGTTCAGCAGGCACTGGCTGAATTTCGAGCCATGTATGGGCTAGCTGGTTGTACACAAGTCGATTCTCTCAATCTGCCTGCCTGGTTTCCCCGCATGATCAATGCTACCAGCTATAGTTGGCATCACTGATTATTGCATTCTGCTGGAGGGGAGCCTTCCCAAATCAAAAGCTCAGTGGGAAGGATTGTCCCATCCACATTGAATGTGTGTGTTTGTTTTTTTTTTTTTTTTTTTTTTTTTTTTTTCTCTACCATTCATCCTACTAGTTGAACAAAAGAGTGAATCGTGTAGGAGCCTGCCTTAGTCCATCAATCTCCTAGTCCTTCTAAAACTACAGTCTAGACCAGGGGTCTTCAGATTTTCTATACAATGGTACAATTTACTGTCCTTCAGACTTTAGTGTGGCCATTTGGTATTAGAAAATGTCCCAGCATCAGTGGGCTTAAACTGTGCCCCATTGTCGGTGTCATTGGGTGAAAAGAATCATGCCCCGTCATTGGGAGGAATTGTGCCCCATAATTGGTGCCATGGCTAGGAGTTGTGCCCCTTTGTTGGTGTCATTGGGGGGAACTATGCCCCATTGTTGGTGCCGGAGAATAAAATATTGCCTCAAGGGTCATATAAAAGCAAGCAAAGGCCCACATCTGGCCCCCGGGCTGCAGTTTGGAGCCCACTGGTCTAGACAATGCTGTCAAGCGTGGCTCTGTTCCTCAATTGGTAGAGACGTTGCCCTACGACAGAATGTTACTGATTGGATAAGCCGGTGCAAATAAAGGAAAATAGCCTAAAAACTCAAGCAGCCACAACAATTAAGGATTGGTAAGTAGAGATATATATTTATTGGTGCCCTAAGTCCATGAATGCTTGATTCTCTTGCAATGAGAAGGTGATTCAAGGAAATGATTATTGGCAATAGATATAAGTGCCAATAATTTTACTTTTTGGGGTGTACAAGTCTCGTTTAAATAGCATGATCTTTTACTAGAAACTTTCCTAAAGGATCCTAGTACTCAAACCCTCTAATCTGTGGAAACTCGGGCCTAATAACTTGTTTTAGGCTCCATACACACTAACTTTTTTTTTTAATCGCTCAAAAAAGCTAGATAAAAAAACCCGCTGGTAATTTTGTGTTTGTTTTAGCGCTCAGAAGAGTTTAGGCGTGTGTAGTGTTTTCATAGTACATGTAGAGAAAAGAAAAGGTATACAAAGTTGTTAGGATTGTGTGTGTGTATGTGTCTTCTGGAAAATACGCTAAAAAAAAAACCTAAAAAAACAATTTTTTTTTCTTCTGCTGCTAGATGCTGAAGCTAAAAAAAAAAGTAATGCTCGTAGTGTGCATGGACACATAGGATAACACTATTTTTAGCTTCTAGGAGCAGAAAAAAAAGTAAGTTTCTAGGAGCTTTAAAAAATTCTAGTGTGTATGGAGCAAACCCTAGCAATCAACTTATCTTCTCTGTTTTTGTCTGTTTTTACATACAGTTTAAAAGCATTTTTTGTCAATTTTGATTAGTGCAAAATAAAATGAAGTTGATCCTGCCAGAAATCAACAGCTTTTAATGCCTTAGGTAAATATCAAGCGGTGTCATTCACCTTCCAAATCTTCCCTGCTGGACTATAGAGTTTCTCACCCTACACATGCTGTGCATAGAGCCGATATATGGCACTTATGTATTAACCACTTCCCGACCAGCCCCTCACTTGTCCCTCCCCTATCCCCCCTCCTCCCTTGCCCTCTGCGTGCCTGCTACTGCACCCCCCCCTTCTGCCGTTGTATATAAACGGCCCCTCCTTCCCCCCCCCCCATCCGGGACGGTGGCACTGCAGGGTCGGGTGGCCATCTATAAACTGCTTCCCCGCACCCTGCTTGTGCGTGCTCCCTGGGAGCGCGCAGCACCGCGATCCCGTGCCCACTGTGTCCTCCGGACACAGTGAAACACCGATCATCGGACGGGACCTCTGTACGAGGTCCCGATCATGTGATCACTGATTGGCCAATCAGTGATCACATGCAAAGTAGTAAGCAAGATGTCACTTCTGACATCATTGCTTACTATGTGTGAAATCTGTGAATGATCAGAGGTCACATGGTACAAGGCTATTCACAAAAGCCTTGTACCATGTGACAAGCTGTGACCAATCACAGCTCACTCAGTTCTTCTCAATGAGTGCATGAATGCAGACAGAGAGAAAGAGAAATGATTGCTTTTACATCCTATATGGGTGTAAAAGCAATCTGTGTAAAAAAAAAAAAAAAAAAAAAAAAAAAAAAAAAAAAAAAAATCGTCATCACCCCTCACAAGTAGTACAGTGTCACCATGGTGACACTGTACTGCTAGGGTGACAGTATGTAAAAAACATAAAATAAAAATAAAAAATAATATAAAAAAATAAAAATGTTTAAAAATTATAATTTTTGCTTATAAACTAATTTGGATTTTTTTTTTTTTTACTAAAAAGATAACGGAATAAATTTTGGCTAAGATTTATGATGAAATATTATTTATTTGCAAAATTTTATAAAAAAAACACTTTTTTTTTCAATTTTTGGACATTTCATTTACATAGCAAAAAAAATACAAATCCCAGTGGTGAATAAATACCACCAAAATAAAGCTTTATCTATCTCAAAAAAATGGTAAAAAATTCATTTGGGTACAGTGTTGCATGACCGTGCAAATTGTCATTCAAAGTGTGATAGCGCTAAAAGCTGAAAATTGCCCTGGTCAGGAAGGGGGTAAAAGTGTCCGCTCTGGAAGTGGTTAAGAAACGTGTCCCTATGACTGCCAGCTAAAGACAGGTCAAACTAGGACATGTGCTGTGTCCATAGCTGTTAGTGCTGAATTCATGGAATACAGTTGCAAGAAAAGCTTTCTAAAACCTTTTAGGCCTAGTTCACATGGACTTCACCTTGTCTAAGAGAGGTGTGAACAGCAAGTGCTTTTATGAAGCTTCAAGCAACTTTCATTAAAGCACCCTTTAGCTCCTGTTAAACAGAATTGTAAATGCAGGCATTTTAATATTTTTTGCAGTATCTCCTCCTTTTTTGTAGTTGCTCATTCTAATGCACTGAGAGCAGAGAGTGCAAGTAATGAGCCCTGAAGTGACAGAACACATCTCCAGCATACCTTGATATGAACATGTTCCTCCCTCCTGGCAACTTGATGGTGCAAATGCTGATCGGCTGCATGATTTAAGGTCTGATAATGTAATTAAGCAACTGAAGGGCAGACTGCATAGCTAAAGTCTATAACGTCCAGTGGCCAGCTCCTTCCCTAAAATATGCATGTCTAAAAGGTGTCCAAGGATTTGTTCTTTCACCTTTTTGCAATCAGTAGGGTACTGATGTATATTTGTATCCTTGCTGGCTGTCTGATGGCCTAAAAATACTAAAACTGCAGCTACAGGAATGGGATGAGGATACACATAATTTTACCAATACAGCATTTTGAGTCGGTAATTATTCCTGGTTGCCTATACCCGCATACAGCTGCCTTTGCAGTTGAGGGGGGTAAAAAAATGTGACTTGACCCTCCTGTGCCCCAACTAAAAATGTCATTGAGACCTTAGGGCTTGTTCACACGGACAGGCAGGGGGTGATTGTCTCCTCCTCAGTGCCTATTTTAAGCCCAAAAAAAAAAAAAACCTGTTGCATGCAGTGGTGGGGAGGATGTGGCACAAACTCATTCAGTTGAATAGGTGGGCAATAGGGGGGGGGGGGGATTATTTACTTTATTGCACCTGCATCGATGCAAAGCGTCTCACTTACGGCATGGTACACCCCTCTCTGCTGCCTGTGCAGCTTAAGGGGGGGAGAATTGGGGGGTGGTTAAAAACATGGCTAAACTGCGTGTTTTTACTGCCTCCAAACCACAAGTGTAAATGACACCCTATAGCTGCTTGTTCACCTTGTCCATATACAAGCTGAAGCCTGCATGAACTAGGCATTAGAGACGTACAGTGTAATGATTACATTTTAATTTGGCCCACTATTGACTGTAGGCTGGCTTGCTGCCTACATTCTGGGTGTTTTTGTGTCAGTTTTGGGGTTAATGGATAAGTTCACTTTTGAAAAAAAATAATAAATGCACATTTTTTTGTTTTTGTGCATTTTATTTTTTTGGAGTAGGAGCCTGTAAAGCATTGCACCAGCGATCAGCAGATCACTGATGCTATGCAGGTCTCCTGCAGACTGGTCAGTATAACTGCTAGTTAGTACGGGCAAGCCGATACTTCCGGCAGAAGGACCGAATGAACTATCACAGGTCTAGGGTAGTTCATTGAGAACAACACCTGCTAAGGCTGACAGGACATGCAGTCCATTCATTGGACCGAACACTGAATGATGCAGCTGTATGGGCGGAGCCCTCATGGCCACACTGTTTTGTAAAAGTGACAGCTTGTACGGAGAATGTCTCTCCCCCTTACTGCTGTCAGAATTGGGCAGTGGCTGCAGGCTTGGTAACGTATTGCATGTTCCACCCTAAAAAGGGGTGGAAGATCTAACGTTCCCAAAGGTGAACTTTAATTTGATCCTTTATATAACTAAGAACCTTAATTCCAGTTATGAATGGCCTTGCATAATTTGATTGATCCATCTTGGGGTAATGTAGGAATTCATGTTTTATACCTGGCTGATCCCCATGAAAGTCAAGTAACTGTAGTAGACACTGCTACTACAGTGACTGCCTCTAGACTTTGGGTCCTATGCAAAGCATTCTCTGATGTGAAGAGGTAATGTCACGATCTCTACCTCATCCAATCAGTGGGATGCTTTCATTGAGAGTGTGCATTTTTTCTAAATGGCACCCCAGCCAAGCAAGCAACCTCTTATGTTCACTAAGCAGCAGGGTAGCTGCTTGACATGGGATCTGGAAGCTAGAAGTGATCATTGAAGTAGTAATGCCTATTACAGCGATTTGCAGCTTCCACTGGGATCGGTTAGGTATGGAACATGCATACTTTGGTCCAAAATAGCTGTACTGGAATTCCTCTCTGAAATATGTAATTGTTTATTTTTGGGTAGATATGCTTTAGTTTACTAGTCCTAATAATCCCATCAGCAGCCCTATAATTGAGTTGAACAAAAGCAGACATGTTTGACGTCCAGCCTGTATGACAACTGTTGCTCCCTCTATGATGGGAAAAATGAGTGTAGCATTGAAGAGGGGGGGGTGTGTGTGTGTGTGTGTGTGTGTGTGTGTGTGTGTGTGTGTGTGTGTGTGTGTGTGTGTGTGTGTGTGTGTGTGTGTGTCAGGTGAAAATATAGGAAATAAATTCTGAAAAATGGAAAACACATGCAGCCACCACATCTAAAGACTGGCAAGCTGCACTATATTACATTTTTGTGTTTTAGATATGTTGAAAGTTTTTCAGGCAAACCCTATCAGACCCTCCATTTACCTCTAGGGAGTGGTGGATCCATTTATACCTGCCTACCTCCAATCCATTCTGCTAAAAAGAAATGGAAGAGGATCTGTACCCTTCCCCTTTAAGTGGATTGGATCAGAGGGCAGCCTGGTATAAATGGACAGCTGGTCTGTTTACACCCCACCACCTGTAGAACCGAGCAGGCTTGGTCAGTGTCCACTCTGCATAAACTTAGCAGACAGACCTGTCATTTGCCTGCTCTGCTTTTAGTAGGGATTAGCAGACAAGGGGGGTGGAGGAGTCTGAACATGGTGCCGATAGGGAGCTCAATGTGAGTGTTCCCGGACAACAGGCACTCCCTGTGACCCGCTAAACAGATGCCCAGAAGGCTGTGGCTTACCCGGGCTCTAGGTGCCATGCTTTTTGGGGAGTCTGACTGGAGTGTGGTGCCCCCTGTGTTTCTGACCGGTGATGGAGTTGACGCGGAGGATGGAGTGAGGGGCCGGTAGGCTAGAGAGGAGGCGGACTTGACTGGAGGGTTGGACACCGCAGAGGAGTACTGGGAGGCAGACTGCGGTCTGACATGGAGGAGAACCTGGTCCGTCCACCATAGGACTGCCCAGGACCCGCGGATCCCCATGGAGGATGACCCCCCCCCCCCCCCCCCCCCAACTGCCATCGCTGCAGATGGGGGTTTTGACCACTTGGTTGCGTTAGAAATCCCCATGGGCGGAGGAAGACCATCTGCAGCAGTTACAGCTAAAGTGGAAGAAGGTGGCGTTGAGGTGAATGAGGGGCTACAGAGGATGGTGAGTCAAAACCTAAAATGGACTAGCACTGTTTAAAGATCATCAGGGTGTGATCACCCAGGGGGTCCTGAAGGAGTAGAAACAGATATGAGAGAAAAAGATCCTGGAGACCCCTAGAAAGGAAATCTGTGTGGGGGAGGAAAGGAAAGTTTCAAGGGACACTACCCCTGAGAACCATAACCCTAATCTGCCCCACAGAAGTAACCCTCTGGCACGGGAAAAATATATTCATATGAAAAGCAAAGCGGGAGGGTCAAAGTCATCCCAAACAAGTTCAGTTAAAAAATATACCCCCACAAGAGCAAAATAGAGGGACAAACCCCAGAGAGACAACAAGGAGTAAGTGGGAGATGGAAAACAAATGGCTATCACTCCAGATTATCTATGGGAGTATCCAATATCAGTCAAAGTGTTTGAAGCTGAAGATATAGAAAGTGAGTCGGTTATTGAGAATCCTGAAGAGCAAGAGAGGACCTCACAGATGCCTACTAAATCTGATATAGCAGACATGTTTACAAGACTGGAATGATCTATATAACGGGAGATGGCGAAAATACATAAAGATCTGGGACAAGTTTTATCATGAGTAGAGGAGACTGAGGGGAAATTGGATAAACATGCCCAAGCAATAACAAAATTAGAAAAACAGATGGAAGATAGAAGCAAAGGAATCTGTGCTCCTAATTGTCCAATTTATATAGCAGAGACAAAAGGTGTAATTTGAGGATACGGGGCTTACCCAGGACCTCCACAAAGAGAAGATTTGATGGAAATGGTGAAAATGTTTAAAACAATAACGGACAGATCAGCAACAGAGCGCCTGAAGAACAATAGAGTGCACAGAATAGGAAGACCTCAAGGAAGCGGGAGTTGAAACCCTGGGGATGTGATCATACGATTCCATTATTACAGAGACAAAG